TTCTGCCCGGGCCCGGGCCCGGCGCATTTTGAAATGCGCCCGCCGCGCCCGGGCAGAATTGTTGAAGGGCAACAGTCGCGAACGGGGGGGAAGTCGTGCGGCGCAGAGACCAGCTCATTCGCCGTCGCCGGTCCCTCGATCACGGGCGCCGTCGCCGGTTGACCCGCGTCCATGGGCGGCAGCAGGCCTGCAGCCCTCCAGCCTCTAAACCCCTCCGACCCCTCTAACCCTCTCGTGGCGGGCACTCTCGGAAGCTCCGCGCCATTCTTTTTTTGCGACCCCTCCCGGAGGCCCTTCCGACCCCTCTCGAGCCCTCCCGCCACGAAGATCCTCCCTTTGTCCGACCGTCCCTCCGAGCCCACCCGGCGCCCGAGCCCTCTTGCCTATCACCCGAGCTCGGGGGGGCGGCGAGCCCTCCTGGACCCCACCACCCCTCCCGCCTCGCCCAGCCCTCCTGACCCCTCTCCCCGGTGGACCGCTCCACCCTCCCAGCGCGCTAGCCCTATGGGACCCTGTGGAGCCCTCCCGACGCCGATCCGACGGGGACCCCTCCAGCCCTGTGGGCTGGCGAGCCCTCCGGTCGGAGGGGTGGAAGTGGGAGGGCTCGAGGACGGACCCCTCTCGCTCCGGGAGGGTGGAGGGGTGGAGGGTGGAGGGGTGGAGGGGTGGTTGAGCCCTCTAGCTCTATCGATATAGCCCTACCCCTCCCGCCGTTTTAGGGCTTGCTGACCCGCTATGAGGCGGCAAGGGGCGCAGAACCGACCTAACCCGTCGGAGGTGGGGGGAAGGGAGTCCCCCGGGTCCTGCGCGAGCGCGAGAGTAACCCCAGGAGGGCCAAGATGAGCGGTGCGCGCAGGGGTCGGCGTGGAGGGCGATGAACGCGCCGCGCGGGGCGCCGCCTCACCGGCCCTCGCCAACGCCTCAAAAATGGCGCAGGGTGAGGCGGCGCACCCGCGAGCGAGCACGTGAGCCCCGTGGCTCCAACCGGGCCCTTCCTTTTTGGAGCAGGTGTGCCGCCGCGCGAGCGACGCTCCGAGATCGCCCGAGATAGCGCGGCGCGGCCCCGAGATCGCCCGAGATAGCGCGAGATCGCCCGAGATCGCGCGGCGCGGCCCGAGGCGAGGTGGATGGGTTGGGAGCGAGGGGGCGAAAGTGTTCAGTGCGGTAGACGGTGAGCTCGGGGCGCGTGAGCCGGACTTGGGGGCCGGACGGCTTTCATTTCTCTCTGCGTTCTCGCACCATGGAGTGCGAAATACTCGACTTTCCGCCCCAAACTGTCACTCCCCTTTCTCCCGGCCGGGGTGGGGCGCGCGCGGGGGCGGCGGGTGTGCGGGATGTCTGTGGGTCCGAGAGCGATATGCCATGTCCGCCTTGCGTTTGTTTCATTCATCGAAGGCAAGCTCAAAAAAAGAAAGCGCAAAAAAACACCACGTTTCGCGCCATGATCTAAGCGGCGAACAGCAACGATGGGGACCACACCACGCGATGACCCCCTCCTCTCGATCCTCGATCGCTTCACGCCTCTTGAGGCGCGCGCCTCGCTGCCGCCGAGCAAATTCGTGTCTCCTCCTGGCCCTGCAGCCGAGCCCATCATGCGGTTCGTCCGCGAGTGCCACCGCGAGCCCGTCCCGCACCTGACACCGAACGGACCGGGCCAAGAAACGCTGCACGAGCGCTCGGCGGAGCGTCACCCCGATGCGGCGCGGCGGGCTGGTGCAGAGCGGGCGGCGGCTGCCGTTCGTGCGGACGCGGCAGTGGCAGCCTTCCGTCGCCGGCTGTGCCCGTGGCAGACGCTCTGCGAGGAGGCGTCGCTGCAGCTGATGCGACGGCTCGACCTGCCGACCCTGCTCGCTCTCAAGGGCACCGACCGGGCATCCGCCGCGCGCGCGCGCGCAACACTCGCCTCCGTGCGCTGGCGGACCACCGGATCAAACGGCGCCGACCTCGCCGCCCGGCTGCCCGAGGCGAAGGCTGCCGGGTGGCTGCGATCGCGGATCACGCCGTCGAGCGACTTTGCGTCGCTGACGGCGCGGGCGCTGCGGGCGGAGCTGGAGGTGGCCCTCTCGCTGCCGCCGGGGGCGCTGCGCAAGCGCAGGGCCTGGCTCGACCGGCTCATCCTCGTGCGGAGAGACGAGACGACCGCCGCGCCGCCACCGCCGCCGCCGCCGCCTCCTCGCCAACCGTCGGTCGCGTCGCGGCCAGCCGAGCGGTCGCTCCCGGCCCCCTCACCGCGCCCGCCACCGCAAGCACCGCCGAGGCCGCAGCCGAAGCCGCCGCCGCCCGCCGCCTCGCCAGGGCCGACGCCGTCTGGGCCGCCGCCCTCTCTGCCGCTCCATGGCGCAGCCCAGCCGACTCGCCAGGCCCGCAGGCAGGCCCCGCGCAGAAGATGTGGCGAGTGCGCGGGCTGCGTCTCTCCCAGCTGCGGCGTGTGCGCCTCCTGCCGAGGGACGAAGAGTGCGATCGAGCAGCGGAAGGGCTGCGTGCATCGCAAGTGCGAGGTGCTCGCCCTCGCCAGGAGGGAGGCGGCGGCGGCGCGCCTCCTCCTGCAAGCCGGCTCGCCGCGCAGCGCCGCCGCCGCCCCGCCCGCGGCGAAGACCGCAACCCCCCGACCGGCCGCTCCGCCCGCTCCGCCCGCTCCGCCCGCGACACCTGCTCCGCCTGCTCCGCCCGCCGCTCCGGCTGCTGGCTTCTCGACCGGCCGCGAGGCGAGCCAAGAGGCGGCGCCGGACTCGGACGAGGAGGAGGGGCGGCCCCTCGCCGCACGCGCAAAGAAGCGCGCGCGAGGCGACCCGCAGCAGGCTGGCGAGGGAGGGAGGGGCCAAGGGAGGGGCGGGCGGCGCA